GGTCAAAGAAGAATCATAATGGAAATGAGAAAATATTTGGAATTAATTAGAAAAATGTTGTTAGGTGCCGTTGAGTTGGTTCCGACTCATAGTAACCCTACGTGCAATAGAACGAAACCCTGCCCAGTCCTGCGCCATCCTCAAAATCATTGCTATGTTTGGCCCATTGTTGCAGCCACTGTGTCAATCCATCTCATTGAGGGTCTTCCTCTTTTACGCTGACCCTCCACTTTACCAAGCATGATGTCCTTCTCTTGGGACTGGTCCTTCCTGATAACATGTCCTAAGCATGTGAGACGAAGTCTCACCAACCTCACTTCTAAGGAGCATTCTGGCTGTATTCCTTCCAAGACAGATTTGTTTGCTCTTCTGGCAGTCCATGGTGTATTCAATATTCTTCTCCAACACCATAATTCAAAAGCATCAATTCTTCTTTGGTCTTCCTTATTCATTGTCCAGCTTTTGCATGCATGTGAGGTGACTGAAAATACTACGGCTTGGGTTGGGCACACCTTATTCCTCAAGGTGACATCTTTGCTTTTTAACACTTAAAAGATGTCTTTTGCAGTAGCTTTGCCTATTGCAAATGAGAAAAATACTACATATCAAAACTACAAGGATTCATTCAAGATTTATTGAGCACCTACTATGTCCCAGGCATTATTCTAGGCACTAGAAATACCCCACAAACAAAACAAAGTCCATGCCTCCTAGAGCTTAAATCTCGTCAGGGGAGCTGAGCAGTAACCAAATACATGCGTGGAACCTAGATAACACCAGACTACGCTAACACTATGGAGGAAGGAGGGACGAGGAGGATAGATGTGTTGAGGTGGGGTGGAAGGAGATGTGATGTTAAGGAGGGTGTTTCCAGAAAGTTCTACTGACAAGGTACCAGGGAGCAGGGGCCTAAGGAAAAGAAGGAGGACCAGGAGGAGATCTGGGGGGTATTTTAGGCAGAGGAAGCAGATGTCCAAAGGGCCTGAGGCCAGAGGGCCTGGTGCACACCAGGACAGCTGAGAGGATGGTGTGGCTGAGGGAGTGACAAAGAGAATGGGAGGTGACAGAAGGCAGGTCACTTGGGTCTTTCAGGCCATTGGGAGGACCTCAGCTTTACTGTGAGGGAAATGGAAAGCCACTGGAGAATTTTAAACAGACAGAAGGATCTGACTTGGGTGTTGAAAGGATAGCTCTCTTTGCAGGCAGCAGGGTGGATGTGAAGTCAAGGGGGTGTGCGTTGCTGAGAGGACTAATCCAACAGAGAGGGAGCTGATGGTGCTGGGGACAGAGAGGACTGCCGGAGGAAACGGAATAATACTGTGTGGAAATGAAAAAAATGCCCCACATACATCCGCTCCCTTTCATGTTAAAATGCCTGTGTGTGGAAGCATAGGGAGAAAAGACAGAAAGCGGGATCTCTATCTCCCGTCTTGTCAGGCTGTTTTCAAGAAGAAAAGACATATTTTCAAGTAAGAAAAGCCAACTACAGAATAATAAATGGTAAATAAATCTTTTCGCTGAACACAAATGACTCCTGTGTACCTGTGTGCGTGCTTACACGGGTAAGGATGAGCCACAGGGTCGGAAGGACACGATCAGACCTTCACTGCCAGTCACCTCGGGGCGTGGCAGTCAGGTGGGAGTCAAGGACGAGCACCTTAGCCCTGACACACTTTCTACTGCTAACCATCCAGTGTGATTTCAATTTGAGAAACAGCGATTTAAAAATTAGGGTGAAAAAGGGAGGGCATAAAAGAGAAAGACATCTGAAAAGGAAAGCAATTTCCAACAATTACTTTTGAGTCTTTAGCTAACGATCTTTTGCTTTAAGTGCGTTTGGGATGAGAAAGATATAATTGATTTATCTTCACAAGCAAAGGTCGTAACAACTACCATCACCAGCCTTCTCCCCCACCAAAAAAGAATCAGCCAACCTTTAAATATAATGGAGCATTACCTCCAAGAACTATCTCCAAATTAAATGGAAAAGGCAAGGTGTGATAAGGTGTTTCCATTTGCGTGATAACAAGGATCTATATTTGAAGATGCTTGTATGTGCACCCGGTAACACTGGAAGGCGACAAAGTAAACTTGTAACACTGAGAAGGGAAACAGGAGGATGGAGGGAAGCAGAGAGAAGAGTCTTAATTTTGAATTTTGAGTCATAGGCATGTTATTTTTTGGATAAAAACTAATAGTTTTTAAATGCACAGAATAAATAGTATGACTTGTTCAGTTAAAATAAGACAGTAAAGTTAATACGATTTATGTTGACTATGTCTTTGTGAAAAACAATTTAGGTCAAATTGTCTTAATTCTGTTACAAGAAAACACATCAAAAACAGATGAGAGTTTTATTCTCTTCTGACATTATCGGTTGCCTGGAATAGCTAAAGGAGCAGCAAACAAAAGGGCAACACTGCCAGCTGGTGCCAGGACAGAAAATGAAGCGTGCTTATGGCAGTAACAAGCCCACATTCGCCCCAGCTCCAGTGCAGACTTTCAAAGGCGTCTCCTATTGCTGGCACTTTCAGGCGTACTGCCTGCATCTGCCGAGCAGCCGACCTTTTCAGAGAACTAACTAGTGCAATCTGGGGGCAGAGGGAGAGAAGGTGTTGACATCCAAGCTGGTTTCTCGAGCAAGATGGGGCTCTGTTCCCAGGAGCCCTCTGTAGCCCAGAGTCCTGTGAGCAACCATAGACATTTATGCCAGCACCTGTATGTGCAGTGCGGGCCACTCCAGCTCTGAGGAGGCAGTGAGAAGTCCAACGAGGGCTTTGATCCAAGCAGCCTCCATTCTACTGGAGTAACTTTAGGTAATTATAAGTTCTGTACAGAAAATAAATCCGGGTGATGAAGCAGGTGGCAATAGAGGGCCTTACTGTAGTCTGGTTGGCCACAGAAAGCCCTTCTGGAAACAATATTTAAGCTGACATGCAGAAGCCAGTGCGGAAGCGGCCGGAAGAGTCTTCCAGACCAAGGAAGTCATTTGTGCAAAGTTTTGCAGCGGCAGCAAGTGTGCTCCGTCCAAGGAGAGAAGGCCATGTGCTGGCTGTGGGTGTAAGGAAGAGCAGGGATGGGAGGCCGGACAAGGCGCAGGGCCAGGCCCACCGCCTGGCTGGACGTGCTCGAGAGCTTGGGTTTTATTCTAGGTGCAACGGGAAGCCACAGGAGCTTTAGTCGGTAATAACACGATTTTATTAATGTTTTTAAAACGATCACTCTGCCTGCATATGAAGAATGACTAGCAGGGGTAAGACTAGAAGCTGGAAGACCAGTTAGGTTTTCTGACGATGCAGAGACATAGGCAAACTCAAGACATACTTTGTAGGTACAGATTACAAGACTGCTGTGGGGTAAGGTTAAGAGAAAATCGAGGACGGTTCGTAGGCTTTTGGATGGAATCATTAATTATGACAGCCAATAAAGAACCAAACCCGTTGCTGTTGACTCGATTCCGACTCACAGCGACCCTGTAGGACAGAGCAGAACTGCCCCAGAGGGTTTCCCCGGCTGTAATCTTTACAGTAGCAGACTGCCACATCTTCCTCCCGTGGAGCTGCTGGTGGGCTTGAACTGCCAATCTTTCGGTTAGCAGCCAAGCCCTTAACCCACTGCACCACCAGGGCTCCTCATTAGCCATTAAAAACAAAAAACCAAACCCGCTGCTGTTGAGCTGATTCCGACTCATAGCCACCCTACAAGACAGAGTAGAACTGCCCCACAGGGTGTCCAAGGCTGTCACCTTTACAGAAGCAGACTGCCACATCTTTCTCCTGTGGAGCAACTGGTAGGTTTGAACTGCCAACCTTAAGGTTTGCAGCCAAGTGCTTAACCACGAGGCCACCAAGGCTCCTGATAATCAACAGTTCTTGCTTTCTGAGGGCTTATGTGTCAGGTATGTCCCAAGTAGTGTTTACACACACACACACACCCCCACACACACACTCACCCACACTCACTAAATCCTCATAAGATGCCTGTAAGGGAAGTACTATCATTGTCCTTCTTTCATAGATCAGAAAACTGAGGCAGTGAGCAGTCAAGGACCTGGCCATCCCCTTGCAGCGGGCGTGGCTGACTGCGGCCTGCACTCTGTGCTGCCTCCCAAGGACCTGGGAGGGTGATGGGCGGCTCACTGAGATGAGGAGGCCTTGAAGAACAGGCTCCGGAAGGGGCGGTTTCGAGTCCCCTTCAATGGAACCATCAGTCCACAGGACTCCTTTGTTCACTCTGTAAATGTCGAGCGAGAGCTGGCAGAGCGCCATGTGTTAGGGAAGGTCAGTGGACGGGGCTCCGTGAGGACCACGTACTCGAAGCCCATTGTAAAAGGGCTGAGGTGGAGCAGAAAAGTATGGCATTTGGAGAGACGATAATGACAGAGAAGGAGTCCAGAAGAAAACTTTCATTTTCCTGCAAAGTCAAAAGCTCGTGGGGCACCGAAAGCACACACTTAGAGCTGTGATCTCTGGCTTGTGCCCCGGTAACATCAGTCCACTTACTGATCACCACACTGTGTTTTCTCAGTGACATTACCCACCAGCTTCTGAATATTATTCATACTCTGCCATCCTAATAGGGTAGAATTTCACCACTCCCTGTCTTTTTAAAAACTGATTCCTCTCAAGAAAAGAGAAGCTAAATTTTCTAAAATAAATTTGGAGAAAGGTGTGGACTGACACCCTTTCCCTTCTCTGGTCACCTGCTGAGGCATGAAACAGAGAGGGGGTGACTGGATGAGCAAGAAGTTGGTTTGCAGAGCCAAATCCCACCAAATTATCCTTCGCAGGAAATCAAGCCAACCAAATGCTTCTGGAGAGCTCCTCTGTCTGCCTGGCCCTCCTTGGGTCACAGCAGCCTAGGGCCTTAGGAGGAAATGACCAACCCAAACCTCTATGGCGGTGGCGGCTCCTGCAGGACCAGAGGGCCTGAGACCAGGTCACACGTGTTGTAGGCATGCTATCATTTCAAGACGAAAAAGAACACTGTTCAAACCTTACCACGGCCTCGGAGGTGGACGGGTGTTTCTGCAGTGCAGTTGTGGGAAGCGTCTTGTTTTGACACAGCAGGTGCAGCTTTAATTTGCCAAATAGAATCTTCAGTGAAAGCAATGGGCACAAGATGAGAGATTCCAGATTTGGGAGAAACCAAACATTATGATCACAGAGTAAAAGCCACCAGCCAAAGACATACCTGACTAGACATTACAAAATGCTTAAATTCTGATTTAGTCTTTTTCTTGGATTTAAAAGCTTTGAAGGAATGAATCTCAGTGTGCTCATTCCTTGTGAGAGAACATGAACTACTTGCAGACTTTTCAGATAATCAACATAAAATTATACTTATAAAATTAGAATACAATCTCCCTCTAATCCCCAAATAAGAAATACATTTTATGAAAGAGCCAAAATTTAGCTTTACCTCCCGGAGCTGATGATTACTTGTTATAAGAAACTGTTCTCCTGCAACAAAATGAGCTTCTTGTTCCAATTCCTTGAGACGAGACTGTGAATGCCATAAACCCAATCTCATCAATTAAACAATATCAAAATGGTTTAATTTGTTCATCAAAGAATTCCTAACATAACAAAAGCTCTTAACAGAATGAAAATAATCTACAATTTACCAAAACGGACATTCAAAATTAAAAATACAAAACGGTAGAACACTTAGGCTCATGGAATCACCCTCCCCAAAACCTAAGGAAACAATGTGAAAGATGTAAAAATAGTAAATAATACAGCAAGAGGAAGGAAAAGAATGAATTCTCCAGCAATAGCACAACTAGAAAAAGGAACCCAATATCACACCACAAACTTCAAAACTTGCAAAGACTGTCCCAAGGCAGAAGAGTTAGGACCAAACTGACTGGTGACCACAGGGATAACGAGGTGGCACCTTCCCACCCTCACAGAGAGAGCAGGTCACCAGGGGAAATAAGTGGATAAAGTTTGGAAAAACCACACAAACCCAATTTGGGACACAGCCTGGATCAAGGGGTGGGAAGGAGTGGATGGTGCAGATGACAAACCCAAACATACCCTTGAGTGTTCCTAATTCACCTGACAAATACAGTGCTGAGCAGAACGAACGGTAAGGCCTGCTGAGCTGACCTCCCATTCCATTTTGGTTGGGAGAAAGAAGAATAACAGCAGGACTTTAAAAAGATGATAACAAAAGAAAAGAGGCCGAAGAGATGACATCAACCAAGTCTGTAGCGAAACGTCATCTCTGTTCTACTCTTCAGTAGATGAGAACAGCCTTAGACTGAAATTCTGAAAGAGGTTTAACAAACAGCGTTCTGAGAAATTAGCAGAGGGACAAGTATATTAAAAAACGGGTTGTTCTTGTTAGTTGCTGTCGAATCAATTCCAACTCATTGTGACCCTATGTGTGCAGTCAAACTGCTCCATATGGTTTTCAAGGCTGTGATATTTTGGAAGCAGATCGCCAGAAGGCACCTCTGGGTGGGTTCGAACTCTCAACCTTTCACTAGCTTAACCGTTTGCTCTACCCGGGGACTCCTTACAGAAAGATAATACTAGACAAAAAAAAAAAAAGAACGCAGAAACTATCGCTTCAATTAAAGTACACCAAAACTCCATGGTCAAAGAAACAAGCAATAAAAAGAAAAACAAGGAACAAAGCATTAAAAAGACAGTGAATCCCTTCAGAAATAAGTCATGCCTTAGGAAACTAAATATTTCAGTACCAAATTGTTTGAACTCAAAGAACCTAAGAGAGAAATCGGCTTCCAGTGAAAATCACACAGTAAGTTCAACTTTAATGTGTAAACACAGAGCGGTAATGGATGAAGTATAAACAGATAACGAAAAGACACAGACAGGCTCAAAAAAATAAAATAAAATAAACATCTCTGAGGAGCAGAAACGGAAGAGAAGTACAAAGCAGGGAGCAGAGCTGAGGCCAATGCCCACCTGGGCATCAGGTACAGTAGCCAGGAGACCAGCTGGAGGTGGGTCCTGCTGGGAAGGAGAGACTTAACATGCTCTATTCAGGGAGGAAGCAGAGCCAGGTTGTATCAGTAACCTATTGTATAACAAACACTCCAAACAAGCAGCATTTCCTTTGCTGACCCATGGGTCAGCAGTGTCGGTGGGGCTCGGCCGGCTGCTCCTGTAGCCCCAGACATGAGGGCTTAGCTATAGAGGAGGACCTCCTTTGATGCCTCACTCATGTCTGGGGTTGGTTCTGGCTGTCTCCGGACCAAGTGTCCTCAGCTAGCAGGCCTGGGCTTCTTAACATGGTGGCAGTGATGGAAGAGGGCAGGTCACAACCTTGTTGTTGTTAGGTGCCATAGCGAACGTACGCACAACAGAATGAAACACTGCCTGGTCCTTCACCATCCTCACAATCATTGCTATGCTGGAGCCTATTGTTGCAGCCACTGTATCAATCCATCTCATTGATGGTCTTCCTTTTTTTCTCTGACCCTCTCCTTTACCAAGCATGATGTCCTTCTCCAGGGACTGATCCCTCCTGATAATATGTCCAAAGTATGTGAGACGTAGTCTCGCCATCTTTGCTCTTAAGGGGCATTCTGGTTGTACTTCTTCCAAGACAGATTTGTTTGTTCTTTTGGCAGTCCATGGGATATTCAATATTCTTCGCCAGCACCACAATTCAAAGGCACAGTTCTTCTTGGGTCTTCTTTATTCATCATCCAGCTTTCACATGCATATGAGGCAAAAACACCATGGCTTGGGTCAGGCACACCTTAGTCTTCAAGGTGATATCTTTGCTTCTTAACACTTTAAAGAGGTCTTTTGCAGCAGAATTGCCCAATGCAATGCGTAGTCTGATATCTTGACTGCTGCTTCTATGCGTGTTGATTGTGGATCCAAGTAAAACGAAATCCTTGACAACTTCAATCTTTTCTCTGTTTATCATGATGTTGCTTATTGGTCCAGTTGTAAGGATTTTTGTTTTCTTTATGTTGAGGTGAAATCCATACTGAAGGCTGTAGTCTTTGACCTTCATCAGTAAGTGCTTCAAGTCCTCTTCACTTTCAGCAAGTAAGGTTGTGTTATCCGCCTAACGCAGGTTGTTAATGAGTCTTCCTCCAACTGATGCCCTGTTCTTCTTCATAAGTCCAGCTTCTCAGATTATTTGCTTAGCATACAGATTGAATAAGTACGGTGAAATGATACAATGGTGATGCACACCTTTCCTGACTTTAAACCATGCAGTATCACCTTGTTCTGTTCGAACCGCTGCCTCTTGATCCATGTACAGGTTCCTCATGAGCACAATTAAGTGTTCTGAATTCCCATTCTTCAGAATGTTACCTGTAATTTGTTATGATCCACACAATCGAATGCCTTTGCACAATCAATAAAGGACAGGTAAACATCTTTCTGGTATTCTCTGCTTTCAGCCAGGATCTATCTGACTTCAGCAATGATATCCCGCGTTGCACGTCCTCTTCTGAATTCGGCTTGAATTTCTGGCAGTTCCCTCTCAATATACTGCTGCAGCTATCTTCTCCATAATTTTACTTGCGTGTGATATTAACGATATTGTGCAATAACTTCCACATTCAGTTGGATCACCTTTTTGGGAATAGGCATAAATATGGATCTCTTCCAGTTGGTTGGCCAGGTAGCTGTCTTCCAAATTTCTTCACATAGACGAGTGAGCACTTCCAGTGCTGCACTGGTTTGTTGAAACATCTCAATTGATATTTCGTCAGTTCCTGGAGCCTTGTTTTTCGCCAATGTCTTCAGTGCAGCTTGGACTTCTTCCTTCAGTACCATCGGTTCTTGATCATATACTACCTCCTGAAATGGTTGAACGTTAACCAATTCTGTTTGGTATAGTGACTGCGTATTCCTTTCATCTTCTTTTGATGCTTCCTGCGTTGTTTAATATTTTCCCTGTAGAATCCTTCAATATTGCAACTCGAGGATGAATTTTTTTTCACTCTTCTCAGCTTGAGAAATGTCGAGCATGTTCTTTCCTTTTGCTTTTCTATCTCTAGGTCTTTGCACATGTCATTATAATACTTTACTTTGTCTTCCTAGCCATCCTTTGAAATCTGTTCAGCTCTTTTACTTCATCACTTCTTCCTTTCAATTTAGCTACTTGACATTCAAGAGCAAGTTTCAGAGTCTCTTCTGACATCTAGTTTAATCTTCTCTTTCTTTCTTGTCTTTTTAATGATCTCTTGCTTTCTTCATGTCTGATGTCTTTGATGTCATTCCACAACTTGTCTGGTCTTTGGTCATTAGCATTCAATGCGTCAAATCTATTCTTGTGATGGTCTCTAAATTCAGGTGGGATATACTCAAGGTTGTATTATGGCTCTTGTGGACTTGTTCTAATTCTCTTCAGCTTCAATTTAAACTTGCATGTGAGCAATTGATGGTCTGTTCCGCAGTCAGCCCCTGGCTTTGTTCTGACTGATGATATTGAGCTTTTCCATTGTCTCTTTCCATGGATGTAGTCAATTCGATTCTTGTGTATTCCATCTGGCGAGGTCCACATGTATAGTCACAGTTTATGTTGGTGAAAAAATGTATTTGCAAAGAAGAAGTTGTTAGTCTTGCAAAATTCTATCATGCGCTCTCTGGCATTGTTTCTATCACCAAGGCCATATTTTCCAACTACTGACCCTCCTTCTTTTGTTCCAACTTTCACATTCCAATCACAGTAATTATCAATGCATTCTGATTGCATGTTTGATCAATTTCAGACTTTAGAAGTTGGTAAAAATCTTCAGTTTCTCCATCTTTGGCCTTAGTGGTTGGTGCATAAATTTGAATAATAGTCATATTAACTGGTCTTCCTTGTAGGCGTATGGATATTATCCTATCACTGACAGTGCTGTACTTCAGGACAAATCTTGAAATGTTCTTTCGATGATGAATGCAATGCCATTCCTCTTCAAGTTGTCATTCCCAGCATAGTAGACCATATAATTGTCTGATTCAGAACGGCCGATACCAGTCCATTTCAGCTCACTAACGCCTAGGGTATCGAAGTTTATGTGTTTCATTTTTGATGACTTTCAATTTTCCTAGATTCACACTTCATACATTCCACTTTCCGATTATTAATGGAAATTTGCAGCTGTTTCTTCTCATTTTGAGTTGTGCCACATTAGCAAATGAAGATCCAGACAGGTTGACTCCATCCATGTCATTAAGGTTGACTCTACTTTGAGGAGGCAGCTCTTACCCAGTTGTATTTTGAGTGCCTTCCAACCTGAGGGGCCCATCTTCCGGCACTATATCAGACAATGTTCCACTGCTATTCACAAGGTTTTCACTGGCTAATTCTTTTCAGAAGTAGACCACCAGGTCCTTCTTCCTAGTCTGTCACAGTTTGGAAGCTCAACTGAAGTCCCAATGAGTAAGTGCTTTGCAAGCCTCTGCTTGCATCCCATTGCTGATATCCGGTTGTGGAAGCAAGTCACATGGCAGAGACCAGAGAGAATGTGGGAAGGGAGTAGACAGGGCATGGATACAAGGTCATGTGGCTGA